CCGGTGTTCGAGGTTGAGGGAACAGGGAGGACGTGAGTCTTTCTGTGCGGTTTGTTCAGGTTGGAGCTGATTTGCTCTGGGGGTTGAATAGGTATGCGGAGATGGAGGCGGGGGAGAAGAACAACCTTTCTCATCGGTTTAAGGCGCTGGAGAAGCTTAGAGAGTATTTACAGGCGGGCGGTGGACTCAAGTCTGTGTAAGGGTATATATGCATGCATTAGATAATCCCCTGCAGGGAATGTGTTGTACTCATGCGGAAGACGAGTCCGGTCGATGACCGAAGATCGCTTGTGACGGAATGCGGTGAGTCTTGCCTTCTGCACTGAATCATTTAAGTGCTCATGCTGCTTCTAGCCATTGCCAACGCATTCTGCGCGCTTGAGGCTGGCGCGACACACATTGACACGTCGGTGCTTGGTATCGGCGAGCGTGTGGGCATCACCCCTCTCGGAGGACCCGTCCCCGAATACGTGCGATCGAAATACAACCTTCCCATGCTCCGCGAGATTAAGAACCTTGTTGCTGCAGCCGTCGAAGTCTCTGTCGCCTTCTGCAACCCCATCACCGGGTACTGCGCTTTCACCCACAAGGCTGGTATCCACGCCAAGGCGATCCTGAACAACCCGTCTACGTACGAGATCCTCAAGCCCGAAGACTTCGGCCTGACGCGGTACGTCTCCATCGGCCATCGTTTGACCGGATGGAACGCTGTCAAGAGCCGAGTAGAGCAGTTGAAGCTCAACCTCACGGACGACGAGATCAAGGGTGTACCTGGCTGCTCGCGAAGTTACTAAGGCCGAGCATGCTATCCAAGATCTGCGGCAGCGAACGGGGAGGGAAGCGATCTTCCTAAAGCTAGCTTACCGACTTGGTTTCGGTCCGAAAGTCGGCAGAAGACCTCTTAGCGTAAGTAGCGCTCAAACTGCGCATAGCAGTGGAGCTGATGATGAGATAGGAAGGAACCGTTTATGCATGTTCTCGTTAACAACGCCGGCGTTACGACACCGCCGATCAAGAAGATCACAGGTCAAGGCTATGACCTGCAGTTCGGAACAAACGTGCTCGGACACTACTTTTTGACTCGGTTCCTGTTCTCATACAGACATACCAGCAAACCGGTAGACCGAGTCGAATGATCGTCACATGTTCCTCTGTTGAGAAGTTCTTTTCTGGGCCTATCAACTATGACTCACAAATGGTCCGGCGCGTGTGAAATTTGGGAATGGAAGGCTGTATGCGCAGAGCAAGTTCGACAATGTGATTCTCGCGGCTGAGCTCGCGAGGTGCTATACCAACCAGGGCATCCTTGTTATCGGTCTTGATTCTGGTAATATTCAGACAGATCTGCAGCGTGAGCAATTAGCAACGTCCAAGTGGATCTTGGCGAGTGCAGTTCCCAGCCAGCGACCACGTGTAGCTGATGAGGATATTATTAGGTTCACACTATTCTGCATCCAACGCCATTCGGCGCTCTCTCGGAGCTTTATGCGGGCACAATACCCGAAGCGGAGCAGTTGAGTGGAAAAGTTGGTATTTCCGAGTGCGGAGCCGATCAGGAAACCTAACCAAGTTAATCCAGTACCTTGTTCCTTGGGCTTGCCTTGGCTCTCCAAACCCGAGGACACAGGATGTGGAGGAAGGGAAGAAGCTGTGGAACTGGCTTGATGCCCAGATACAAGGCAAGTAGGCGCTGCTCACACTGCGCTTTCTTGGCGCCGGCGCATTTGTCCCTATCTCTACAGTTACGCCCGCATGGCATCCGGGTTTATTCCGGTTTTCAATAAATACCATGTTGGTGTTTCCACCCGCCTTTCTGAATCTTGTCTAGTTTCGAGATAATCCACGATGCTCGGCAGACTCGTATGTGACCGCAGCTGAATGGATCGACGGGTTTTCCGGCGATAATCTTGTTGCGACCAATTGCTCCAGTGACTGGGGCAGTCGAATTGCCATTTGAAAATTAAAGACAAGGGACGGCATGGGTGTGAATCAAACAGCTTCTTACCGTCACTTATTGGATCAGGATCGTCCAAGCCAAAAAAAAACGCCGTTGTTCGGCTTACAGCTGCCGGTGTCCCGGTGGCTGTGTCATCACCTGATATGGCTCACATCAGTACGTAAGTGATCTGACTGATGAGGGCTTGTCAGGGAACTAGTCGCAGGGTGGGATGGTTACCAAGGTATAACGAGTTTTGTAAGACATTTTGTGATGGTATTATGGCGAGGACCGGCAGCTCCCAGGGGCGGAAGTTGGAAGTCGTGCCGGCGTGCCGTGGCCCCGACAAATTTACGCAGCCTCACCTTCTTGCATCGCCATTGAAAGAAGTCAGCTCCGGGAAGAGCGGAACAGGTGAGAAATGGGTGACGCATGCACCCTGGCAAATGATGACGCGCCTAACTCGTCATTGATCTTCCAGCACAAGACCGTTAAGCGCCCTGATGATACGACTTTCTGGATGAATAATTGATCTGTCTGCATGTTGTGTCGGCCCCTCGGGAACATGGTTGACAGCAGTTGCCAACAATTGCCAGCGTGCTCTGTCAAACAGAGGTCGGGTCGATGCTGACAGACCAGTCAGGCTCAGGGCAAATTGTCTTGGCTTTCAGGGGGCGCGGCGGGAACGGGCGACAAGGTCCGAGCGGTAAACCTCGCAGGTAGTATTGATGGGGAGACTGAAAGACAATGATCTTTTCGGGAAGAAGGGAGAATCTATATCGGGAATACCGCCCATGCAAACTGTGGTCGTGGTGAAATGCGTGTGATGTGAGGGAGCGGTGCGGGAGAGACCGTGTCGATGGGCAGTGTTGGCAGGCTGTTTAGAATTTGAAGGATGACATCACGAACGTTTGCACTTTAACTGCTTACACCTTGGACTGCCAGGTAGTCAACCGTCAACGTCTCTTCTCTCTGGCATGCTGTTCAGCGTGTTAGTCGACTACTTCAGGGAGGACGTATTGGGGCATCGGAAGCAAGAGACCAACATGAGGAATTCCATGAAGCGGAAGCAACTCCGCGTCAAACGGGTTCCCATCTCGGGCGCAGGCACCACCAGCCCATCATCCCCACCGTCTCTCTCAGCGGCAACGGCAAAGGCGGCGACGACGACCGCTCCCTCAACGTCGACCATGGATGGCCGCCATTCGCGAGTACGATCCCCTCGACAGCGACAGGCGTACCCCTCATCCTCATCACCCTCGCGTCCAGCCTCTCATTCCACCGACACCACACCCTCTTTGACCGACTCCGATTCGAACAGCATGGAGACCGACGGCCGCCCTCCTCGTTCTCCTCCTCCTCACATCTTTCCTCAATCCGCCATTCATTACATAGACAACGCGACTGGCAAGCTGAGTACTCCACTTCCCAAGGCACCGGTGCAGCTTCCAGTCAACTTCGAAGGACAACCCCATCGTCCTGACTCGCCGTATACGCGCTCCCGGACCCCATCAACCACCATGGGACAGACGCCATCCTCATCACCTCGGGAGCGGCGAAGATCTAGAGTAACATCAGATCTCTCGTTCTATCTCGCACTACCCTCCCTGTCGGACCTATTGTCAAAGCCACGGATCCTCCTACGTCTCCTGGCCAACGGACTCGTTTTGGGTGACATTGTGGCGCTTATGCAAACTTGTCGTAAAACAAGAGAGGCTTTGACACATGATGGGGAGATACGAGAGATTATCTTTGAACGGACTATACCTGGCTATCGACGAAAGATAAGCGATTATACCCTCGACGAGGACGTTTCTGCGACCATGGTAGATTATGAGCTACTTGGTATGTCGAGCATACACCCTTGTCCTGCTTCAACTGATGAATCCACTAGGGGAATCATTGGCCATGCCCCTTCACCGATATCCAACTCACGCATTGCAAATTCTTACCTCACCACCATCTGCCATACCGAGCGTGGAAGCTCAGCAAATAACGCAATACTTGGAAGCGCTTACCCAAGTACACTCGAGATTTGTGCTCCTGCTGCGGTCCCGAGGGCCTAGATGGTCACTCCAGCTGGAATTGGATGATCCCAGCTGGCTCGTGTCGAATGGTGGTGGTGGTGCCAACGCGTTGGGTCAGGGACGGCAGAATGCACACTTGTGGCATCGTGGACCTCCCAGAGAAATCGTCTTCCCAACTCCTCTATGGGGAGGCGATGATGACAATTCGCCGCCATCCCCTCTCACCATACGCTCAACCCCGCCGTCAGTTCCCAAGCGCAGCACAACCAAGCGGCGGTCGTCTGTCCTTGTCAACCTCAGGAGGTCCAACTCCCGCGCCCCGCCGCCACCGCCAAATCCCGTGCCTGCTGCGCTGTCTTACTATCGCCAGCCACAGTTGATCGTTCCACCTAATCGACGAGCTTCTTTTTCGCGTTCGCTGGACTCTTTCGTTGGCGGTCCTACCTTCCCTGGATTGCCCCCATTCGGGCACAGTCCATCCAACAACTTGACTTATCCTCATGGCTCCGCCCCTCCCGCTGTTGTGTCCTCTCAGACATGGCCGCGTTCGACGCCTTCTCCACCCCTAATTTCCCCATCACCACCGTCTCCCACGGGTTCGGGCTCCCCCTCAGGCTCCGACTACTCGCCTCCGTCCCTCTCCCATGTAACGCTCCCGCCGATGCAACCGCATTCACAGTTCTGGGGCTCTCATGGCTTGCCTCCTATCACTTCACCTCACGACCTGCATCTAGCATGTCTTCCAACTCGAGCAGCTGTCATTCGCGTGTTTGTTCCTTGTGCTTCGCTCTCCCCCTCCGCTTTGCTGGCATGTGAAGGACAACTTTTCGCATCCGGTCTCTGGCATTTTCTCCATCCTGGCGACGTGGTGTGCAACCTGGGATATATTCCGCATGCCGGGTCAAAGTCGACATCTCCTCAATCATCCTCGGCTGAGATACCGGTTGATCCCATGCAGGGTGATGAGGACGCACCTCGAGGTTGGCTCTTGTACACGGGCACGTCACTAGTGCCATACTACCCTCCCGCTCCTCCACCGCTGAAAAATCCCCTCTCTCTTCCCACTCCAACCTATTATACGCACCTGTCGACCACCGCCCCTAGGTTCCTCCTGACCCTTCCGGGGAAACCAATAGACCGACCAACACTTCAGGCATCCATCATGACTCTTCCACCTCCACACTTGGGCGCCAATGTCAAGATACAAGTGTGGCGGGCTCGCATCACCGTGCCTGGGGATATGATAGTGTACCCGAATGACAGCATGCAAGGCACTTATATCGGGCCGGGATGGGCAGGAGAATGGGTAGTTGAGGCAGACGGGACGAAGGAAGGGCTGAGCGCGTTGATGGATGCCGAAGAGGGAGGTGAAAGAGTATGGGAGGTGGTCAAGGGCAGGAGTCGACCTGGCAGAGTCTGGCTGAGGTGAGTGCGCTGTGTTTTGAATGGGTTTCGGTTTCTTTTTCTACACTGTCGTGTTCTTTCCCAACGAAGGCGATCAGCCTTCTATCGCTTCGCGCGCGCAGTTCTTCGTCTTGCGCATTCTCCTGAAGATATCCGTATTCCTCGGGTCCAGAGCCCAAGATAGGGTATCCGAACACATCGCGTCCACCGCGGATCACCCCTTTCCTTTTTGAGTCCATGCGAATTCTTCTATGTTCTCGTCCATCTGTTATCGCGTTCCTAAACGATAGTGATTGACGCATACGTAGACTTATCAGCACTCCTTCTCCTCCCAGGAGTGAAGAAAAGCCACAAGAGCTCATGCAGCGCCTAAAGTAGTCACTGTTGAGCAGATCGCTACTCGAAAAAGGAAGCCATGTCGATCGCTTTATATCACCTTTCACGACACCCACGAACGTTCTCAAGCCCCGCCATTTATTTATTACTTAGAGTTTTCAAGCTCACCGTCCTTGCCGCCATTGCGGAATCGCGATTATATCCACCTTCTGACTTTATAATAGCCTGTGAGGGTTGTCATTCCTTCTTCGCTGCATGTTGCATTCACAATTCTTTTTGGACTTTCCACTTCATCTGTTTTTATTCATCGCGTGGACTTTAAGTGGCTTGCTCGGGGACTATCACAATTATTTTGGCGGATGTCATCCTTGCTGTTATTTCCCATGTTCTTTATGTGCTGGAATGTTGGACTTTTTTCTTGCAGCTGTCGTGTCAATTCCCTAATCTAGTCATTGTACGGACGTGGATCTGAGCAAGTACAATAGAACAATGCCCCCAAGAACTTTTCAACTGTACGACGCACCGCCTAGAGAAGTCTTATCATGTGTCTCATCCCCTGTGAACAGGAAGAAGACGTCACAGATAGCAAAAACAAGTAACCTGACAACTGTTGTTCGGTCTCTGCATGCGTTAGTTCGGACTACAAGAGAATCCGTTACATAAGCGACGGAGGCTTTTCTCCTTCGCGTCTTCGGTGACTTCGTCGTTGTACCTCTTGCACACCACCTCCGCCATCTTATCTGTATCTCATCATGGCCGACGCGGAAAGTATCTCACTTGAGGAGACGAACAAGATCCGGATATCTCTCGGCCTCAAGCCGCTCACAGCTGATTCACCGCCGCCTGAAGAGTCAGCAGAACGGAAAGCCCAGAAGAACTTCGAGGCGGAGCAGGAGCGACAGCGCAAGGAGAGGGATGCAGAGTAAGTTGTATCGCTGTGACGGCTAGGAATATGCTGACTTCGTCTGTTTTTTTCCACCCAGGCGCATTAAAACAGCTGCTAATAAGTGAGTACTATCCTACAATCATCCCGCACGCTCTGCAACTCCTCTGTTTATCGTAGATCGGCTTGCTCATTGCCTCTCTGCTATGTAGGGCTCGTAACAAACGCGAGTTAAATAAACGGTTAAAGGGTGCTACTCTCGGTGATGCAGATGTCGAACTGGACGATACCAAGGCCTGGCTCAAAGCCAGTAAGCGCCGCGAGAAAGAGCTTGCTGAACGACGTCAGCGAGAGCTGGAGAGCATGGACAAGGTCTTCCAAGGAGAAGATTACTCCGAGAGTGAGTCATATGTTCCATGTATCTCGAATACACTTAACCTATTCCCTGCAGAGGACCTCCAAGGCTTGAAGGTTAGCCACGATCTGGATGTTATCGATGAAGGTCAGGAGCGTATACTCACGCTGAAAGATAGTCGTATTCTTGACAACGAAGGTTGGCCCCTTTTTCATATATGCTATCAAATTCTTACCGTGGTGCCTCAGAGGATGAACTCTTTGACGAGGAAATGGCCCGGGATGAGAAGGATCAAAAGCGTCATGAACTCAAGACTAAGCGTCGCGACTATAAGGGATACGATGACGATGAATTCGCCAGTGGAGGCGAGTTTGGCAAAAAAACTGTGTTGGTCAAGTACGATGAGGACATCAAAGAGGCGCCTGAAACAGTACGTTTCCCTTCGTGCGGTGTTATTATCAGCCAACTAAGATTGTTCTCTCAGGGATTCCGCATAGGCGGACCATCACGACCCACAAAGAAGTCCCAACGAGCTGCTGAAGAGGCAGCAGCTGCTGCAGTCAATAAGACGCTCTTGAGCATCGATTATTCCAGTAAGGGGCAACATCCGCGGCCTGTCTTCATCATCTAACCATTTGCTTCAGAAAACCTCGAGATGACTGATTATCTGAAAGAGGGCGATGTGGGATTCAAAAAGCCCAAAGTACGTATATTTCTTTTAAAGTTAGCTGTGCTAATTTTGTCCTCGTAGAGCAAAAAGAAACGGTCCACACGTCAAGTTGAAGTGGATCCCGATCTCCTGCCAACAACCGCAGTGATTGCTCCGAATGGTAAATCAGTCAATGAAGAGGGCATGGATGTTGATATCAAACCTACCATCTCAAATCCTCGCACGCGAGACCTCGATACCAACTTTGTCGATGACGATGAGCTGCAAGCTGCTTTAGCACGGTCGCGACGAGCAAAAACGGCAAAGGTCAAGAAGATATCGCCGGAGGAACTTGCTCGACAGCGTAAGCGAAGTTTGATTCAGACCTTCTACTTTTGTTGACGATTGCTTAGTGATGGATGAAAAGAAAGACGTAAAAATGGAGGTTGCAGAACCCGATATCGTTCCCGCGGAAGACGACGGTTTGACGATCGACGATACGACCGAATTCATCCGCAATGTTACACTTCAGCCTGTCATCATCAAATTACAGACGCAGCCAAAGCAAGAAGACAGCGCTACTTCCGTCCCCTCTCCGAAAGTCAAAGAGGAGCATATGGAGGAGGACGAGGCCATGAGTGAGCTAGAAGCTGGCGAGGTAGACGAGGATGAGGAGATGAATGAGGAGGACATGCTGCAAGCGATTGAAGGCGTCATAATGGAGGCGGCGGAAGCAGTGAAACAAGAGGAAGTTAATCGAGAGGTACGTCTCAGCGAATTTGCAAATGTCTTTGCCTAACGACACATCAGATTGGAATCACGAATGAGCCGGTTCTTCAGGGTGCAGGCCTTGCAAGCGCGCTTTCCCTTCTCCGTCAACAGGGCCTCATCGCCAAACCGAATGCCGCCATGGTCGAGCGTGAGAAGATACAGAAAGAGCGGGATACCTGGCTCACCGACCATAACCGTCAGCTGGCGATACGGGAAATGGAACGAATGCGCTCGCGTGGTTCCGGCGCCGCGCAGGGCACCAGTGCCTCAGATGCCCGTGAAGTTGCCAAGCTTTACGAGAACTACAAGCCAGATGTCAACATCGAATACCATGATGAATTCGGCAGAACCCTAACGCCCAAGGAAGCTTGGAAGGCACTTTCGCATCGCTTCCACGGAAAAGGCTCTGGCAGGGCTAAAACGGAGAAGCGGCTCAAGAAGATTGCTGAAGAGCGGAAGAGGGAGGCAATGGCTAGCGGGGACACGCCTACGGGGATGAATGAGGCGTTCCAGGCGAGGCAGCAGAAAATTGGTCAAGCGCACATGGTTCTGTCCGTTGGCCAGAGGGGGTAAGCTCACCTCCTTATTTGGCTCACACATGACTGATGGGTGATTTCATCAAGGGCTGTGCCACAGGCTGCAGAAGTTCTCGATCGCAAGGCGCTAGCAAAGAGACCGGAAGAGAAGACAAGAAAGAAGGAATCTTCCAAACTGTCCCAATCCTTTACGAATGGGGACCCACATGGTCTGATCAATGTCACCCTACCAACTTCCGCCAATTTGCCAGCTTCCCCCGCCAATGCCTCCGGCGAAGTGTCTCCATCGCCCGTTTCAGGGAGGGGTATGAAACCTGCATTTGCGCGCATAACATCTGTCGAGCCTTCGCAGAGTGCCCCTGGTTCTGGAGGTGCTAGTCCACTTGTAAATGGAGAGAGGACCAAAGTTGCATTCGGTCTGAAAAGAAAAGCTGCTGATGAGGGCGAGGGCACACCTCCTTCCAAGAGACGATAGATCCGTCTGTACCACATGTATTGTGCTTGTATTAATATTTGCGGGTCAGTGGGACCTTCGTGCGGCTAGTGATGGGTGTGGGCTCAGCAAGGTTGGAATCAACGTTTCGGTTCATTTGCTCCCTTCTTCAACTTCTTTTTGATGGTCACTCTTCTGAACAGTCTCCTGCGAGTCAAGTGTGTGAAAATTGGTCCAAGAAATCAATTGGTATTGCACCTATCTGAATCCTGTCTGGCTTTATTCTGGCAAACTGAACTCCACTACTATGTGTGATGGAATCTCCCTCATTGAAGTAGACAAAGACCCTGCGGAGTTGTCGATATTTGAGACCCTTGACTCTCTGTGTCTCGTTCAGTTCAACCTTTGGTTCAGCTTGAGCCGACAGATTTCCCTTTTTGTGCCTCGCCCTTTGTGGTACCTTTGTACCATGAAAGTACATACGCTTTGATGCATTAGTAGTCATAAAGGGCGAGTGTTATGTGTTGACCATTCTCAAAAGTGCCGTTACTTGAGACTCGTCGATCACCTATGTACCTAGCATAAAGCCGGTTGCCTGCTTCTGGGCAGACCGCAGACCCAACAGACGGCGAGGAAAGTTTACCGCATTTTTGGGAGAGACAGACTTTCCTTGGACTCGATAGATTCAAAAAGGGAACATGGATGACACCTTTGAGGCTCGAACTCAAGACCTTCTGTGTGATATTCACAAAGTCACAAACCGAGTTGTGGTTAAGGAATGTTAGACAGATGCGCTAGCCAACTGCGCCAAGGTGCCGGTAAGTTTACAGGTATTAGCTTCGACATCTTGAATCCTTTTACTAGAGCACTCAGACGCGCAGTAATATAACCCGCAAGAGCATTCTGCGAAGGACCAACAAATGCCACAAATACGACACACCGAACAAAACCGTATAGGACACTCGAGGGGCAGAATACAGGCGGGGTCCGGCATTTCATATTCCCCTCAGGTCATCTTTGACATGTGCCTAACATGATCATAAAATGACTTCCTCGTCTCCTCCGTGCTCCATTTATTCGCTCCAGCATCGTCCGCGTGATTGTCGAGATAGAACGCGCCCTTGGCGAATACTTCTGATAATAAAGGGTGCACCAGCCATTCGCTTGCCTGCGCAGGAGACTCGGTGAGGGGTATAGTAAGAGGAAGGAGTGCCTTTCCGATCCAGCCGCCTGTGATGATCGGCGTGCGAACTCCCCCAGGATACATATGGGTGAAGGAGATGTTGGGATATCGACGAGCCATTTCCTTCCAGTCATGTCAGCGCACTTGAACCTCCACGGATGTGAATGCACGAGCTTACGTCTACCATGATATCATTACCGGTTGTCGCGTGATTCTTGGCCGTAACGAGGCTGTAGTTCTTCTTCAGATCGAGATCGTCCCAAATCACCTTCCCATTGCCTCCAGCGCTGAGCACTGTCACGACACGTGCCTCCTCCCCCATTCCCTTTGCTCTGTCCAGCAAGGGCATCAACTCAAATACGAATTTCCACCTTCCGTACAGATGCAATGCAAGCTTGCGGTCGATACCCTCAGTTGTCTCCGTCCGGCCTTTCATAGTTAGGATGCCCTGGCTCAGAAATAAATAGTTGAGCTTAGGCAGTCGCTCCCGTAGATCCGCTGAGACCTTGGCGATCTCGTCCATCATAGTTGCTTCGCATTTCACAAACTCGTATTTGCTCCCTTCGGTTTGCGGCAAGGATGCAATGATCTTTTCTGCAGCTTCTTTATTTCGTCCACAGAGGATGATGTGCACATTGCTGTTGGTGTATCGCGCCAAGCTCTCAGCTGTAGCTTGCCCGAGGCCAGATGTACCACCAACGAAAAGGGCCACCGGCCTGAAAGAAGGGTGATAGGTCGCGTTAGCAGCGCGCACGGCTTGCCAGGTGGGCATTGTAGTTTCAGTAGAAGGTCAACACTTGTCCAAGATCATCGACTTTATAGAGAAACACAGTCGAGTCCGGGGTGAGCGGTCTTCGACTTCCGGCAAGCCATGGGTCGGATGCGTGGATCTACCAGGGCCACGTCATGGATGGTTTCAAACCGGACCCTTAGCTGCGTCGGACACACCATTACCGTCGGATGGGCTGGTAATACCAATAAGTAAAACAAGGCCAAATACAAGAAAATACATGGTCATCACGCGACCCCATACGATATCAGCCATCACTCTGCCGCTGTCTTTTCGCCTCTTCCTCATGTGCCTGCCCGTTCCACTCCGCCTGTTGTTCTCTGCCTTCCATTCCCCAATTTTGACCAGTCCGCATTCCTTGCCTGAATACATCCCCGAGTGCAGTCCCTGTACAGTTTCAACACATATGCGGGAGAAGAAGTTCTAGAGACACGCACGTAACTCCTCGTCAGGATCACGCCCTTCGGCCTCGGCGCGCCTCATAATATCCTCCACTCGATCCATCAGACCGGTCGTCATGTTGTGTGCTGTGAGATCTTGAAGGTGCTCAGAGGGCATAACGGCCTGTGAGACGTGGTTTCCAGATGCATCGGCACCATCGTTGACAGAAACACCGGGAGCCGCAAGGGATCGCAGGTAAGCAGATACCTCGGCGAAATCTTCGTCCAATGCATCTGCTGGCTATAACTATCTTTAGTTGGTGGTGCCGGACTGGAGGCTAGCATATACTCACCGTCAGACCCTCCTTGTTTCGCATGTCCCACGTCGCGCCCTTCTCCACCAAATATCGAGCAGTCTCCACATTTTCCACCGTATACAAGGGTGTGTCTCCATCATCATCTACCACATTTACGTTTCCCCCTTGGGAGCTCAAGTATTCGAGTATGTGGATGTGGCCGTATGAAGCAGCCGCGTGCCTGAATAATCTGATGAGAACACCGCGGGCATATTTCTGAAAAGACATACATAGGAGTGTAGGTATACTGATCGGGGGCATTAGGGGCAATTCCTATCTCGAGCGCCTATCAGCAGGGTGCTTTCTCTAGATGTCAAGGAATGCCAACCAACACGGCCCACAAGCTCCTACAGCTGGCTTTAGCAGTGAACTTCACTCCAATGGGAATATCGAACCTGGACACGCTCGAGATCGCCATCGCCAGCGGCAACCCATATATTTTTTCCGCTCGTTGCCACTGGTGCGGGCATAATGGCAGTGGCGATTGGGATGTCAATTCCAGCAACAGAAGCTGAAGAGCGCTGGGCAAGTTAACGTTGTTACCAAACTATATCCAGGGTCATTTACTTCCGGTGCTTCTGTTCGTCACCGGCGAAGATGCGTGGAATGATCTTTCTTTCTGGACATTTTTTTTGGTTCTGTGTAGGACACTGCTGCTGAGGTCACAAGTTGCCCGGGCCTCTTTATCCCAACGAGGTCGCAGTATTTTGTGCTCTGAGGAAGAAGAAACCCATGTTCCTTCTAATAAGAAACAAGCCTAGCTTGTGTACGCGGACCCAGGCTCCAGGTCTAATTTCGGCTCAGGTGGAAAGCATCGAGGTGCTTTGACAGGCACACCTCCGATGTTTGCGTTACAGTCGTTATACTGATAACTAGCTAGTATACAGGGGCAGGTGATTGTGTATCTCGATGTCGTTCTCACAAGCGCATGCCTAAGTAGGGCTAGACCTATACCCTGTTTTCAACATACGCCGCGCTCGGTTTTTCGAGCTCCTCAACAGATGAGTGCTCCTTGTCGTACTCGTCGTCAAGGGCTGCACCAACATCCTGGCCGCCGAGGTAAGCATTGGGTCCGTCGAAGATAACGGCAAGCTCTTCGAGCGTCGGTCCCCGTGTCTCGGGGTAGAAGAAGTAGATGACGGAGGTCTCGACAAACAGCCAGCAGTCGTAGAAAACGTAGAACTTCCAGGTGATGTTCTGGAGACCGATGGGGTTGACGAACTGATTGAAGCCCGAGCCGGCACGGGTGAGGAGTTGGGTAATGGCAATACCCTTGGCACGGGTACTATAGGGGAAGATCTCGACAACGTAATTGTACGTGAGGGGCATCATGGTGTTGTACCTGCAGAGATTCAGCATGATGATCTCCGTGCGGGGATTCATGTGACCTACATGGGATAGTAGAGGAAAATCATGCCAACCACAGCGCCACCAGCTTGCAGGTTGCCTGTCTGTGCGAAGTTTGCAGAAGCGATCGTCCAGCAGATGAAGACTACGAGCATGCCAGTATAGGAGAAGAGGTACTGGGTACGACGGTTGAGGACGCGGCACCAGATAGATCCGTTTATACCAGTGATGAGATTCCAGATCATCAGGCCCAGGTTAAGGATGTTCTGCGTCTTCTTGTCCGTGATGCCGACAGAGTTCAGAACCTTAGCGAGGTAGTAGGAGACAATACCTGCATGCGATGGTCAGTTCTGGTATCATATCCAGCAACCCTAGTACATACCATTGCCAGACCACTGAGAGAAGAGACCAACGCAGGCGGCAATGAACGACCGCTTGCGGTTGCCGGGAGTCCTCAAAAGATCAAGCCATCCGCGTTTGTTGGCCTCAAGCTCCAACCTGATCGTTTGCTCGATTTCGGCATATTCAGCCTTGACGAAAGCATCGTCACGGTTGCCTTCAGCATGGTACTTCACGAGAATGTCGAATGCCTGTTCGCCCTTGCCCTTGGCAATGAGGAAACGGGGAGACTCGGGAATGAACCAAATGAAGATGAGTTGGAGGCAGGACGGGGCGATTTGGAGGAGGGACGGAAGCCGCCACGACCAGTCGTTCGTCCAGAAGAAGGTGCCAAGAGTGACACCAGCAGCTAATGTTGCACCGGCATAGTAGCTGATGTTGAACAGTCCGGTGAGAACGGCACGCTCCTTCGGGTACGTTAACTCAGCAATCAGCTGAGAAGCGCCACCAATGGCGAACGGTATACCAAGACCGAGAATAAGACGTGAAGCGATGAACATGCCGATGTTGATGGATGCCGTCTGGATCACGACGCCGACCGCGATGATAGCGCTACCGATGATAACCGAGCTCTTCCTTCCCCAGCGATCGTTGCAGAACGGAACAAATGGGAATGCGAAGACACCGCCGATTGAGAACGCCGCGCTCATGATACCGAGCAGAGCGCCGTTCGGGTTATGAAAGTCTGTACACCTAATTAGTTCAAGAAACGGAATAGACGGTCATCCCCCTACAGTTGAGCCAAGGTTGGACGGATTGAAGGCCGTTGAGAACAGAGCCGTCATAACCGGAGGTCATTTCCACACCAAGGCAGGCCGGGAGGAGCATGATGTACAGCAAGCGGAGATTGGGCTTGTTGTACCATGGTGTCTTATCGTGGGCCAACAGATGGTTGACATGAGACTCTTTCGCGATCTGCTGTGCGTTGGGTGCCATGATGAGACCGAGCGGCGAACGAGAGGCGGACAGGAGAGTGCCACGGCGGGGCCCCACGGGAAGCGATTTATCGCACCTTTATACGCGGTGGGGTATCAGAATGAAATTGCTTCAGAGCGGGGCTTCTGTTCATTTTTCTCCACGGGGTGTCGAACACCCCCTCAGTGGTGGTGTACTGGCGCCTGGAAATCGAGCGAAAGGAGTAAAAACACGTGTAAATGCGCTGGCTATCCCATACACTCCCGGGTGATAGGACGTATTAGGCAGTCTGGTCCGTGTTGCCTCTTGGAACGGCAACCATGATTTGATTCGCGGGCGGCATCCAGGACCGCCGCGCGCCGTGAGAGAGAAAAAGCAGGCCCAATTACAATGTGGAGGGAAGGTCCACGTGTGTTCACCCCGCACTTATAGTGGCAGTGCGGAGCCCCGCAGGACTGAATATGTTGGCCGGTCCGGTCGCCAGTCTGAGAGTACGAATCAATAGCGGATCAGAGACGAGGCTGCTCTCAGGAGGCGGGAGGCGACATCGGAACATAGAATACCGAACAGGCCCCTGAAGGGAAGAGCCGAACGGTCCGTGTGAATGAACAGCCGAATGTGTGTTGACAGGACGTCAGTTGATGCTGAACACAGTGCAGGTGTCAAGTCGGTTCCACAATTGTGAAATGCATTGGCCAAGTGTTGCCCTCCCGCATATGCAGCCAGATATGGACATGAGCTCCGTATGCTTGTTGTCTATTATCGGCGGACTTGACGGACATAGCAGAGGATGACGGCAGAGCTGCTGACGGGCCGAGTTGTGGGGGTTATCCAGGCACAGAAGGCCACTCTAAGCTTGCAAAGAAGCATAAAGCAAGCTCTCACATTGATGCCAAAAAGGAGCAAGCATACAAGAAGGGGAAAGGGACCGAAGAGGGATGAAGGGTGAGATGCTTCCCCAGCAAGATGGTATATATTCTGAGTTGGACCAAGGTGGAGATGCCCCCAAGAACGCGACAGGGAACAGGTGGACTGAACACGCGACCCTGCACAGCAGTAATCTCGGGACGACTCCCGCACAGCGGGTTTGTCCATATACCAGCTTACGAGACCATCATTAGAAACATAAATAAAGAAAGGTCATGGTCATTTAGATACAATGTTCAAATCAAAGCAGTCCAATCCCTGCGCTTCTCTGGCCCTGTCTCTTTAACAGTCGCTTTCCCATCATCAGCAGGTGTCACAACCACCGTTGAGCCGCCGACCAAATCAACCTTACTCTCTTCACTGGACATGGTCCAGCCTTCTCGACCTCGCAGCGTGTCCGTGTCCGTAAAGGACGACACACTAGGTGTCGTCGGGGCAAGTGCATACATGGTGTTGGGCCGTGAGAGGGTTGGATGGGCATGATGCAACGCAAAGAGCGAGTTGCGGTAGCTTGTTTGTTCTCTCCAATACGCAGCGATCTCGGCTCGTCGACTGTCGCGTTGTCGGCGATGGAGAATCCAAAGACCGACCAACGTGCCAGTCATGACTGTGAGCATGATCAGACATACCCCGTGGAATATCAGATGAGTATGCCATACCAGCGAGGATTCCTATACCAGTGACCACGTACTCCCATGCTGACACCTCGCGTGGAACACCTGGTGCCAAGTCACAGACACCATTCTCACAGTGGTACTAGATCATGGTTTAGCTGCACGGCTTAACAAGGCCTAAAAATCAAACGTACCGAACCGCACTCCTTATTCCCCGTACATGCCTGTCCAACAGGCTTCACATGCAAGCATACCCTCTGCACACCATCACAATAGTATTGCGGCGTCTTGCAATTATCGCGCGACACAACCTGCACGAACGTCGCCCCGGAAGATTCGAATCCTGTATATGCCACATTTTCGACCATGCACGCAGAGCCGAGCGTCGCATTCTGATACTGGCAGACGAAGGACAGGCATATAGATCCATTCGAGTTCATGGACGAGGAGAGGTCTTGCCAGTTTGGAGGTGGGGCACACTCATCTACAACTATTTAGGTCGATCTGCAGATGGACGAAGCGCAGCCTCACTCACCGTCTCTATCTAGCTGACAAGGCTTCCCGACCGCAAGAAGCGGTTGACACGCATCCTCCTCATCAGGACAGAAAGTACCATCGGGGCAAAAAGGCGGTTGTGGGGTCGACCCATATCCAAACCTGCCCCACAGTCAACACGTGCGCGAACATACATACTGAGTGCACTCACGCGAACACGTCTCGTCTACACCCTTTCGGTTGACAAGTTCCCTGCGCGGTGCAATAGCCCGTAGCGTCGCAGTCCGTCACAAACCGATGCGTGTCGGGATCGAGCCCGTTGTTGAGGATGTTGCAAGTGCCATTGATAGGCACCGTTCCGAGTCCTGCTGCAGCAGTCTGGAGGGGTATAGAGAGTAGAAGCAGTAGCAGCGAGTGTGGCAATAATCCCATTTGACGGAGAGTATGAGAGAAGAAAGAGAGGAGGAAAGGCGGAAAGAGTGTCAGTAAGAAAACAATGCTGGCGGTACGAAGGACATAATAGCTTTTCAATATTAATGGTGCAAACACATGAGAAGCCCGAGACGGAGGCCGATCGCGTCCCTTCTCTTGGTAAGGAGCGCATCGACGTTTCCACGTGCATCGGAGCCGTTGTTTGTTCTTGGCACATCCGCATTCCAGTCAATTAACTTTCGTTCGGAGTCATACATATGTAGCATCAGAGCAGGGATATAGGAGAGCATGCGTGGGGTACAACAGTATAGATCTGCTGGGATAACGATTTAAGTGACTACTATTAATAGCAACAATACAGATGTCATCAAATGGAAGGGTATCAAATATGCGCGTCGAGTTCCTACATTGCATCATTCCTCGCTCTGCAGCAATCCAACGACGTCCTGCAGATGGGTACGTAGCTCTGCGCGTGATGGATAAGCTTTGAATCCATAACGAGATGATTGTTAGAGATCTTGACCTTGAATGAGAAGCTTGGTAGCGAAGTTCGAGACGATACCTCGGCAGAGAAGCGTCCTGCAGAACTCGAACCGACTGACACTCAACCAAAGAAGAAGAAGAGGAAGATCGTATCCCCACCAACATTGAGCGATCCAGAGGAGACTGGAACGCAGTTGTCTAAACTCCAATGTATACTGGAAACGCAGAGTGAGTACGACGATTGGAAAGATCGCGGTTTTCTCACACCGACCATAACTCACTGCAGGAACCAATTATGCGTCGCCAAACGGTCGAGAACTCCTTTCCATCCTACGCGGTATCCAAGTAGTTCTCATGTCGCGACCTTTGGACAAAGAGCTTCTTCGTCGATCCTTAGAGCACGCGCTCGATCGCATTGGTCTTGTGCTCAAGCAACTACTGAAGTACCACTGTCTGGGAGCTTCTGTCGTCCCTTTACTCGACGGCCTTCCCCCTTCGTCTTCGCACATACCACTAGTATCCTCGCTGTCTGGAATGATCAGCGCACTCCTCGGACACGTTGCGGCGTCCTTTGCGGAGGATCTTGAGTCATTCAGCCGGCTTCTTGGCGACAACATATTGTCACCTGCAACGAACAATATTCTTCCACTGACTCGGAGTCTTCTGGGCCGCGCGCTCGATTCCAAGGAATGTGCAAGCAATTTGGACGATATACGCTCTGCTTTGTCGGATATGACCACGAATGTGCTCTCTTCTAGCATGAACGCTATGAAGACAGCCGCGTGTCAGCAGGTTGCACTTGATGCTGTCAAAGGACTCGAGAATGCGTTCCTCTTGGAGCATGTGTCTTATAAAGCACCAGCTCTCCAAAGGAAGCATCGACAAGAGCGATTGGCACGGAAGGATGCAGTACCCCATCTTTGCTCGATCCTGCGCGCAGCGCTGTCCTCGCACAGGGAAGCACTCCTCGAGAGCAAATCCCCTCGATCCTTATATCTTGCCTCATCCACTCTTGACAAACTGAGCACTCTGCAGTTCGCGCTTTTCTCTTCCGGTCCAAGGGATAATGAGCGTGACTTGCTACGCGGTAGATCTGATCTCGGAGTCGTGGCCGAGGACGCGCTTCTGTCTGTTATCGAGTTTGCATGGATG